TCTATATCTTGCATCATCATCTATTTGTCTTCTCACCTTCAGTGTTGTTTATAGTGTGCTCGATTGACGGACACCAAAAAACATGACCAAATCATTGTTGCATGACTCACGCAGTACGCTACCAATTCGAGCTATCGCCGAACAGTCGCCAGATGTGATAGATCGGCAGGTAGACAGCCTCTGACACTGACATCATCTAAGAGGTCATTGCGCGCTTTTCTGAATGTCGTGCGAATTTTCAAGGTTAATATTGCTTATTAAGATACTGGGTTGTACGTTTGCTATTTGAGGTAAGAGTTTACAACGTTGCAGTGCGACGGTGTCACCTTACTAACTATAGGTCTGGCCACTACGCGCTGTGTACCTTATGCGGCTTTCAGTTTGGCCATCGCTGCCTGCGAAGTGTTTCCCATCTGGCGGAGACACCAATTAAGCAGCACTAAAGTTCGTCCTATAGTGTTTTACGATAGACCATCTTGGGACATATTGGAGCATTTGTTGCATTCATTTAAGCTACACCAACTCATGATCGGCTTCTCTATCAGTACAGCTGCAATTCTCGTGAAACCCAGTCAATGACGTTGCAACGCGTTATGAACGAACTCACCGAAACGCAAGGTGGGGCAGGTACCAATCGTCTTCCCATAAGAGCGGATTCGGGATCGACCAACTCAGTCGTTAGATACCAAAAGCTGTGACACAGTTATGGACTTTATGACCTTGTTTTCATCCGTTTCTCAATCCAGTTCAGTTGAACAACTATGATCCAGGCACCGAAGTGCGACAGATCCCGTTGCCATAGCTTACGTCGGTAGAATGACAATAAATAACAGCGCCAAGCACGAGGTTAGATGCGAATCAGAGTGCTTTAAACTTATCGAGATGGAATGAAACTTTACATCTAGATGCAAGAAAGCTAAGGCAGGAACGCAACTGGTTGCGTGACTGCGCCATGTTGGATGTAGTTTTCAACCACGGGTGTGGACCAGCCCGGGGCCCCCATCCACGAAGACGGCACGCACTAGTCCGATCAAATCTCTCATTCAATTTCTTCATGCCATTATTCCGCGCCAACGACTGGCCACATCGAGGTTCCGTCCAACTTGGTGCAACCATGGTGTGTAACATACGCTGAGTAAGATGGGCAACAAGCATACGGAGGACATGACCTAACCAACGTAAGCAGCTGTGTTTAGCAATCGATTGGGGCATCAGAGGATTTATTGCAAAAAACTGACTGGCGGACCTCAGCATTGCTCACCCGTTGTTCCCATCAGATGTGAGCAACACTTCGCAAGCACCGATTGTCAAACACGGCCAAGTGTTTAATGTCTTCACTGCGAAGTGGCCAGGTCTCTGGTCCATACAGAAACACCGCCCTTGCCGTAGCGTTATATATCCTACTTTCCACCGACAGGCTGATATCCCGCCGTCTCCACTTATGGCTGAGCCTCTGTAATCTCACACGGGTCTTGTTGATACGCGATTTAACTTCCTCTGTGATGTGACCAGCAGAGGGGACACGGCTACCAAGATAAGCGAACCGTTCCACCACCGCACTTTGAAAGTGCAAGGCACATGACGTATCGTGCAATGCTCCGCGTCAGTTCATTCAGTGGTGCTTGCATGACTACTCAGCGAGACCTAAGGATGGCTATGTCGTCCGCATACTCACGGTTTGTCAATCGGTCACTTGGCAGAACTTTCACTCCGGATGAATCTAAAAGGACGGAATCATGTATGATCATTTCAATCACAAAGTTAAAAACAAGGAGATGTACGTCAGCCCTGGCGAACCCCACTTATCGTGGAGATATTGCCTCTTGCAGAACCCTGCGCGGCTTCGTTGGAGAAACTTTACAATGGAACAGTGTTTTCCAGACACTTTCTTAACGTATAGGCAGTGCCATAGGCTATTTCGATCAACAGAGTCGAATGCGGTTTTCAAGTCAAGGTAAACCACCATAGTCGTATGTAAGTATGTCTGTGCTCTAGTATTTTACCAGGAGTAAGTGTGTGGTCAATGGCAGCACGACCAGAGCAAGCCAGTCTTGCTTTCAGTGATTCGGTTCCCACGAGTATCAGTAAATCATCGAGAGCAATAGAAATTAGGCTAATACCTCGGTGGTTTTCGCACAAGACCCATTTACTGTTTTTGACGTTGGTACGAGAGTTGACTGTCGCCAGTCTGAAGGCACATTTTCAGTGTCCGAAATCGTGTGAACTACAGCAGCAAGTGCAGTAAACTAACAGTCACCTCCTTCGTTCGGCAGGATAAAAAATCGTTTAGTCCCGGAGTTTTGATTCGTCTCAATACGGAAAGCTCATATCGGATCTCTTCCAAAGTGAGAGGTGTGACATCAACTTTCCACGTGGGTTGGATGATTCAGCGGACTGTAGTACTGCAATGGACCCATTGAACTGTTCTTCAAAGTGTTTCGCCCAACGGGCCAGTCGACGAAGCTGTAAATGGATCAACTGTCCATCATTCCTAACTTTTGTCTCAGTAACTGTGGGTTTTCTTGGATCCGTATTCTGGATAGGCTGGAACCGCACTCAGTTGTTTCCAATAACACTGACTTTCTCCATGTCGCGGGCCCTTGTCACTCAACGGCGTTCGCTGTTAATTCTAATACTCCTTGCTAGTCGTCGCTTCAGGATGTTATAGTTATATATGCGTGCTTCGACCAAACTCATCCATGCTTCAAAAACCAATTCACAATGAATGCTTTTCAAGTTTAGTTAACGGCAGGTGTTAAAGCGTCCCTCGTGGTATATTTAAGGCGATTTGAGTTGATATTCTGCTTACCAGCCCAATTCATCATTGACAAATGACCGGCCAGTTCGTCATGACATTGCTGAATTGCGGACTGCCGGTCCAGATTACAAGTGAGATGGCTAAAGCTTGGTCGCTTCTTCTAACCGAGAAGGGTAAGCGCCATGCGTGCATGCACTAAAGTGTAAGCAAAATCCAGTCACGTATTCCAAATTGACTGACAATCTCAAACTGATGTGCACCCTCTGTAGCTGATAGCAGTAATAGCCAGTTTCAGTCCTGGTCTTCAAGGATTTTGATAGATGCTGTGTGACGTGGTCTGAACGTTTGTGCTAGAACACAGCGCTGCTACTACATAATTGCGATCGGCACGTAGTTATAGGAGTGTACGCCACTAAATGCTCGGCATGCATCGACCGAAACCGTCATTCAGGTTCCGGAGGATGATCACTTGGGCACTCATTTCACTAGCAACAGTCGTGCAATCAGTATTCTTCTCCGTACGAATAAGAAATGAGCGCTGCCTAGGGAATTCGTATTCAATACTCTCCGAGCCAGAGACGGTTGGAGCATGGACCGAAACGGCAAAATGCATTTCGTCTTGACGGAGGAAATGAGAAATAAAGTTACCGACGAATAAATCGGCGCTGTTAGTGCATTTCGCTTTCCACGCTGGAGCCCTCTCAACCAATCATATGCTTGTCTCTAGTCTACAGAACATGGCTCGCATTCGGCATTAATAGTGCGTTAGCTGTCTTCTAGCTGAAGTATCCGTTTAAAAGTGTCTGATACTAAATTATCTTTGATGTAAAATTGATTTTGACGTGGGGCAATGGAAGTCACAAAGAAGCTGTCTTGCTGATACTGCCTTATCTCTACAGCATGGTCAACTGTTTGTGGCCATATGTTGTTAACGAAGGGTAGATGCCTTTCTCCTGGATGCTTTCTCAGTGTTTACACCAGATCCCTCTTCTTCCTTTCCTATTATTCATTGTTCCCTATTTCATACTGATTGTTCAGCGACGAGGCACCAGTCTATGCTACCGATGTATTACTGTTATCGATATTGTTGTTTATCTTGACGTTTATTACCACGAATCAATGTCCGAAGTCTAACTGCACACATACGATTGTTCACTGCTATCCAAACCAGTGGTTTTCCTCTGGCATGTTTACTGCAGGCTACACCGACCTCGTACCTACCTTAAGTCAGTGACCCAAGATCGCTGGAATCTCGAAATGTGTATTCATTACCAACAGATTCGGAAACATAGAGCCAAAGGTTCGTTACGATGGTGTTCTCTTGATGCATGCTTCGAAGAAAGCACACACCAATTCCGTGAGAGTGCAGAGAGAGAGCACCGCCTGTTGACCGATCTGGCCCAGCGTGCGGATCTTGAACGACACGATATGAACTGATACCCTCGGTTTGCGAGACAAGCTAAGTGCATCGATCGCATCAACTGAGAAGTCAGCAACAGTATTTTGCTCCACTGAAGGAAAACCAGAGTTTCATGAAGAGAGATAGGCATGCAATGGAAGTTCCGCTGATGTTGAGGTCTAGAGGGCTACTGCTACTTCATGACTGCCCACTGCGAGAAGGGCTTCTCTTGCCTCATCTCCCGTTTAGAGTAGAACCACGATAAATCAGTACTTCCTGAACTGTGGCACATTAGAAAAGCTAGATCAGCCTCTTCTTATTCACTTTTTTCTTGTTTGTATGATCTTTGAGCAGCGAAAGGGTATTACACAGTCATTATTTCGCACGTATGTTCTTGGCTAAAAATGTGGTTCCATCCAGTGTGGCATGGACAATAGCCCAGCTTCTGCTCTGTATAAGTCTGGTATATATGTTTCATCCTGTTCTTATAAATGATGCCCATGTCGAAGGAGTGTGGGACTGTTCCGGAACTATCGTGGCTCCCGTTCACATGCCTCCTAGCCTTATTCCTTCGGGTTTGCACTGGATATGGAGTTGTGGGTAGTTCAACGCAAGCCACCCACGGTCTTTCAGTAGGCACAGGCGTCCTGTGGCTGCTCGCAGTCTCACTGACAGGCAAATCTGGAAACGGATGCCACCAACTATGCCATTACCATCTTGCGCTGCTGCGTACCATGTGTCCAGCATCTCGTTGATTTTCTCTATTTATTCTCCATTCCTCAACTACTGTAGTGCCAATCTCGAATTTTTCTCCCCCGCTTGACATCTGTAATCTTTTTTTTAGTCCGAAAATTTCGACATAACTGCCGGCCGTCTTTTTACACAACAAGATTGCGTATCAGCAAATTCCCCCTATTCACGATGGCTACTCCAAAAAGACCTTATATTGAAAAAACGTCTCATTCAGGAACTGGGAAGAAACCTAGGTAATTCTCTAGTTTTGTTTCCTTCTATATATATATATATATATATATATATATATATATATATATATATATATATATATATATATATATATATATACCATCATGCTCATCATTGTTTCGCTAAGCTGCACTTCTGAACTGAGCATGCTTCCCACTACCGTCTGGTCCAAACTAATGTATTAATTTCTTTGAGCGAATTTCACCACACAACCTTTATTTTTCCAACTGTTTTATGATTCAGCCTATTGAATATGGTATCTAATGGAATAGGCATACAACAAAACTCCCCTTTGTAACGGGTAGTCGAGGAACCCGATTTTTACGCTGTACCTAGTTGTCAGCAACCTTACTGGTCTGTTATTTCATCTTTCCGGATCTCTTCTTCCCAATTTAACCGGCAAGCGTCCATCTCCGTAGCTAATGCTAGTTCGTTCATTCATCCTCACGTTAGCTAGAGGTTAGAAATACCTCCGCTTTGGTGCCACAATACAATGCACTAGGATGTACGAAATAAATAGTATAAAATACAAACTAAGCACTAGTATTGTCATGTTTTTTATTTTACATCGAAAACAGAAAGAAAAAATACATCAACAGTACACCGTGCTGATGCTATGCTGACACACATCCACCATCAGTAACTCGTGGGCTAAATATATTACGAGGGTCGCCCGGTCGCCTACGCAGGCTCGAATCGGTGACATCCGGGTTGCATGACAGACGCCTTGTCCTTTCTGCCACTGGCCGGCCAGATCGTGATTGAAAGTGGAGGCTAAGCGAAATGAAGATAGATAAAGGATTTTATCACAGAAACACCGTTTAGCTCGATTCCTCGCCTTGTCAACAAGTGTTTCCAACCAGTCGTCTCTCTGACCCCAACTCGGGAGTCAAGAGACTCCAGCCGAGGCTAACTTCGAAATAAGGGACTTTATTCTTTTTAACCAAATCATCGGTTCGCCTTCCTTCCTTTTCTTCCATCCAGACCCGTGCGCGCAAACAACGCACGTCACGGGAGTCGGTGTGCTAGCGTGCCTAGCACATGACTAAGCCATCGGCGCCTGGTGCGCGATAAAGCGGTACTAAGCAGCTCACTTGATTTTGTTGTGCGATGAACAAGATGTCGAGCGCGCTCATTGTTCACGCGATGTTACCCAGACGTAAGCTAAACTGCGAAAGGATCGGTAGTAGAACACAGTTTGCCTCTTAGCGTCTCTCGATCTGATGGACCAATTTCCACCACCATATAATAGAGTTGAACGGTGAGTGGGATGTTGCGCCAGCACTGTAAGTGTCAAAGTCGAACAAAAGTGCCTCGAACTCTGCCTATATGATGTACCACTTCATTTCGTATCCCCAGGCGTTTATACAGATATCTAAGTAGTTTTAAATTCCTGAGCGACTTCTGATTGATCCCCACCACAAGTCACTGCAGGATGGTGGTTCCTGACATTCTCGGAGGAAAACCTTGCATTTGGAGAATGCAAAGCAGAGCCCGGAACGACTGATAGCCAGTGCTAATTTGTCCACTGCTGCTTAGCACGTTTGTGAACTGCCACAGATTAGGGCAAAGTCATTTACATACTTCAAGTCGAGAAGTCGATTACCTGAAAACAGCTCCGTACCTCCCAAGTCGTGTTCAATGAAAGTATTATCGATAGCTTCGTCGATGACAAGTTAAAAAGCAGACAAGGTCATCCCTTTCTCTTACCACTGGAAATATCGAAGAACGACGGCAATTGACCATAAACCATCACTCTGCCCGAACTATGCGCCTAAAGCTCTCTGATAATCTTTATGTATTTCTCTGGCACACCACTTTAAATCAGACACTTCCTAAATGCACATTGATAAACGGAATATATGGCAACGTCAACATAAGAGGCGGTGCTCCAATAACTGGTAAATCGTAATGAAGTGCTCAATGCAACCTTGATTTCGACGTAACCCAACTTGATCTTTACGAACTTGGTTTTCATTGGTGCAAGCCAGTCTAAGAAGAACGACAGACTGAAGTAACTTAGATGCGATAACGGTCATACTGTGATACTTTTATGGTTGCCACATTCCGGACGTGAATATCCTCTGAAAGCCGGGATTATAACGAAGCAGCTCCAGTCGCTTGGGTCGGTTTTCCTTTCTCAGTTTCACTAATAATTCGGGTACCTCTTCCACAAGAGCTGGTCGTCCGAATTTGGGGAGAGCTGGAGGAAGCTCGTCTAGTTTTGCGACCTTATTCCACTTCAAGAGTCTGTTCACACTTTCCTCCTATGCGCGAGAAGTCGTATCTAATAGGGCAGTCCAGTAAATAGGGCGATCACTGATCGGTAGCGAATCTAGTGGTTCCGATCGCTTAAATTACTTTCGAAAGTGCTCAGTTGAACGCTTCAAGCGTTTTGCACGTTGTGGATAGGCTGCTCACTCTCGTCAAAAGTAGGTCTCCTGCTACCCGTTCCCCGTATGCGACGGGATAATTTCCGATGGTTACTAAGGTTAGCGGCCGTTTTCATTTCCAATGCACGATGAAAATATCAGGTTTCACTGTCTATTTTCAGGCTAGCGCACAATTTTACCCTCAGATCCCTGCGAGTCTCGTATTCGCCCCCAGCTGGAATGCGTCGGCAGGCATCCAGAAGTTCCAGAGACTGCGTAAAGACCCAGTACCCGTGATGTCAACCGGATTTACCACACAGGCATATCTGTCGTTAATAACGTATGGTGAACAAGTGACCAGTGGCAGTCAAGCGCGTCCAGTGGGTACTTACTCAGTTCGGATGCCAGTGTACTTTGCTGGCAGTTGACAAGGGTCTGTACACTCACTGCGTCGTGGCGGGCGTTCTAGGAACGCACTCGCAGATCAGCGCCTACAAGCGCTTAGTCGGAGTCCCCGCTTGTCTGCAAATTGAGCGAAAGCTGCAAATGCAGCCTCTCCAACTTTGATTGACCGCGATTTGATCGACCTGCGTGTGCTACAAATGGGGCTGTGTCGGAAGTTACTGCTATCGAGAAATAGGCGAACATCTTCACACAGATGTAACTATCGTTCACTATTCTCATTACGTGAGCCTACGTCGTGTTGGCCGCGCAGACGAAGCCCATCACTGGGCAATTTTCCAACTTGAACATTCAGACCACCAACCACCACTACCGTATCAGTACTATTTCGCGGAGAAAAGAGCTCATTCATTTAACGATAGATATAAGCTTTTATTGGATCAGCGGTACAATCTGGGGGACAAGCCGCGATGACAAATAGGCACCTATTTGCTCCGCGCAACTTCTAGGCTTTGAACGCACCAGCCACTGGCGACGCGCAGTTGGCTGTTTGTTGGGATCCAGTCTATCAGGGTAGCTTCATTCCGCTAACTCAGAGCAATGTTCACACCTGCTTGACCGGCATTTAAAATTGCACTATCTCCGAATATAATCAATGAGCAAATACCACTAGTATCACATGAAGAGGATCGCACAGCGCTGTAGTCTTGCGGGCGGGTTTCTGATTAGCAGCAGATATGCATCGAGAGGACTCTGTATTTTTGGATAAATGCTGTCTGCCGACCTGTCTGTAACAAAGTCTATGCGTTGAGGTATGCTAGTCTTGACCAAGATCGAGGGCACCAAGTGGAAACGGATGAACTGACTTTGTCCGCGTGGTTAGACATGGGTTTGTCAGGTGGACCGGACCGATGCCTTGCAATTGCATGTGAGTCGAAACTAGTACACAAGCGAATATAAAGCTAGAAGGGGGGTGACAGCTGTGGATAAAAGTGCCGTTGAAACGGGAAGGTGTGAGCAGTAGCACCATCACCCCTATCCACTTTGCTAGATGCAGCAGATAGGGCGCCGTTGATTATCTTCTGCGACTGCCAGAGCCTCAAGAAGTTGTCTAAGGAGCAGTTCATAGTATTGCTTGCCCAGCACTCGACAGCAGAACGATTAGGATTCTCAACCAGACTTCGGTTGAAAAACCAAACCATAGGGCAGCGATATTTTTGCACTTGGCTACACAGAATTCACTTTAAGGAGTAAGCAGCCGGCCGCTTTTCAACCCCAACCTGGTGGGCCAGTAGACTGTTTATCTGATTCCTAACCATGGATACAAAGATCCATAGATCCAAAGGGACAAGCCACGGAGCAGGGCGATCACTGGCCGGCGAAGAATCGAACAATTCCGGCCGATTAAACTGCTTTTCTAAATGCTAAAACGCTCCAAACGTTTTGACAAATTGTGGATAGGCTGTCCACTATCGTCACAAATTGTTTCACTAACACCAGGTCTCCTGTTGCCCGTTTCCCGTATCAGAAGGAATAGCTTTCGATGGTTACCAATGGCAGCGGCTACTTCCATCTCTGACGCACGAAGAGACCACCAGGATTCGCGGTCTCTCTTCAGGCTAGCACGGAGTCTTGCCCGGAGCTCTTTGCGGGTTTTATTATGTTCGCTTCTAGCCGGAATATGTCGGCGAGCATCGATAAGTTCCAGAGACCGCGAAGAGACCCAATGTCCATGTTGGCTACTAAACTTACCACATGAGAATTTGCCAGCTGCTAGTAAGGTATGGTGAATATGAGACCAGTGCGCTTAATTGTATCCAGTGAGCGCTTACTCAACTCGCATGTCAGCATAATTTGATAGCCATTCAGAACAGCTGGCTTTGTCAGTTGGCTGGTCTCAATGCGCTCACAGCGTCGTCGTGGGCGTCCGCCAAACCGCATCCGCATGTTAGCACATACAGGTGCATGGTCGGTGTCCACACATGGGCCCCAAATCGAGCGACAATTCTGGATGCACCCTCTCCAGCGGTTAATGATTGCACTGTGATCAATTTGCGTGGAAGACTGGTGGACGCCAGGTCACCCGCCGGCAGGTGCTGTGTCGGAAGGTAGTGCTCCCAAGAAATAAGCGGGCATCTTCACACACATACAGTAATCGCTCACTGTTATTATTACAGGAACCTACACCATGCTGATCACCCAGATGCAGTTCATCAGTGGACAACTTTCCCAACTTGTGCATTCAGCTCCCCCGCCAGCACAACAGTGTCCGTGCTCCTTCTGTGGCGAAGAAGCTGGGTCAGTTGACGGTAGAAGTCATTCTTTACCGAATCATGGCTACAGTTTATCGGCGCGTAAGTAGCGATGACAAACAGACACCTATTAGCCCCGCGCGACTTTGAAGCTTTGAACGAGCCAGCCAGTCGAACCGCACACATTCAACTACTGACTGGGATCCAATTAACCAGAGCAGCTTCATCCAGGGGACTCAGGGCAATGCCAACGCCAGTTTGGCCGGTGCTCGAAGCTGCATCGTCACCGGAAAGGCGCAATGAGAAAGCACTGCTAGTGTCACCTAAAGGAGATCGCAGAGTGAACACATAGCTCGAGTCTTGCAGACGGGTCTCCGATAAGCAGCAAATAGCGATGTAGAGAGTCTCTAAACTTCGGGCAAGTGCTGCCTGTTGACCGATCTGTAGCAACATACGTTTGTTGAGGGATGTGCCCCATGCTGACGCTGATGCTGCATTCATGATGCTTCTTCACCGCAGTTGGGCTAACCCAACTTACACTTATGCTAGGTCTTTTTAAGATGGATAAATTTCATTCCACTTTATTTGGTTTGTTCTGCCTACCTGAATAAACTTCTAGTAACTGGCCACGTTATTTGCGGTACTTGTGGTTATATTCTTTAACTTGATTGCGTTTGTAGCATTTTTGAGTCACTTCTGGACATTTTTTGCTTATGGCGGATTCGTTGCTAACCCACATACTTCATATGCTAATTTAGGGAAGAGTTATATCTGCATAGCCGTAATCTTTAACAGATACATTTTATTGATAATGTCATTTCAAGTGATTGGCTGTTGCTTGACATCCCTGGTGTGGCTGCGTTTGATGTGCATGTTGACAAGGTGCCTACCTGTCTATTACCCACTACCTCGTCCATACTGGCTCCAGGAGACAGTTGGTCGTTGCTGTAGGGGACGGGGTGCACGGTCCTTGTCGCCGTGCTAGGCTCGAAGAGTGGTTCCATGCACTCAGTGTGGATCGGACTACGGTCCAGCCACCGCCTTGTGTGCGCTTGATTCCCCAAATACAGCGTGCTTGTGTTTGCCTGTGAAGGAGTGTGGGCCGGCTCCGCTGATGAAACGTTGTTCCCATCCACATGCCTTCCGGTCTTATTCCTTCGGGTTTACACTGGATATGGAGTGTGTGAGTTGTGCAGCGCAAGCCACCCATGGTCCCTCGGTAGGCGCAGGCGTTTTGTGGCTGGCCACAGTGACAGGCAAATCCGAAACCGGATGCCGCCAATCATATTAATGAATGCGAATCTATATTATTACTGAGGACTCCAAATAGAAGCTAATGAACTGGGTTTCACCGCTTGGTTAGACATGAAATTGTCGTCAGAGCAGGAGTGACGCTCCGCGTTGGCATGTGAGTTGAAACTAAAATGTAAACGCCTAGCAGAGCATCTTGGGGAGGGCCAAGAATCGTGTTTTTGAAACTGGTGGGATAAAAGTGGAGTTCGAACGGGACGATAAGGGTGAAAAAGCGTCAGAAGGGGAATAAGAAGACGGGAAGGTTTGAGCAGTAACATCCAAACCCCTATCTACTCTGCTCGATGCAGCAGATAGGGCACCGTTGATTATCCTCCGCGGTGGCCAGAGCATCAGGAAATTGTTTGAGGGAAAATGCATAGTATTGCGTGGGCAGGATACTGTCAGGTTGCACAGGCCTAGACAGGAGAATGATTAGGGTTCTCAACCTAAGCCTTTGGTTCAAAAACCTGGCCGCAAGGCATCGGGTTTGCAGGGGTCTACAGAAAGTGTGTTTTAAGGAATAAGGAGCCATCTTCATTCCGACCCCCAACTTGGAGGGCCAGGAGACTGGGTTTGTCTGGCCTCTAACCATTGACCAATCTGGTATGAGTGGCTCTGAAGGTGCAAAAAGCACCACCCCGCATAGCTCAATGGGTCACTGAGGCGCATATACCATCGCGCCGCGGTAAGATCCAGCCTCCTTGCTATGACTCGCTAATAAGTTTTTGATTGTATGCTCCAATACGTTCTATCAACCATTAATTGGTTAATGTTATTTACTGCTCCGGTATTGCCCTCAGCAGGTATTATGTAGTCTGCTAATGAGTTAGTTTAGCATTTTGCTCCTGTTGATCACGAAATAGAAATTTGTTTAAAAAATTTTCTGTGTATTTCCTTGCATAACAATACCTGCACTGATTTGCGATTTTTCCTGAGCCGTATAACACTCTGTTGTCTCCAGCTATTCTTGGTATATAGGAGTCCTATTATTTTTTGACAAACAGCCACAATCTCTTTTTTTGGGGTGTTATGTATCTCTTATCTTTTTCACTGTTTGTCTTGTCTCAGGGCCGAAGGTGCCCCCCAGCCATCTAAATTCGAACAGGAGCTGATGCTCCTTGATGATATCGAAGCCGAAGATGTCGCTTTGGTCGACGAAGGTGCCGTGCTTTCTGCTCTCGATGCATCCTCTAGTTCGCACTGGTCACGACCCGTTTTACCTCCACTGGATCCTTCCAAAGACAGTATTGTCTTCCAGCAGTTTGACGTTTCACATTACAAAGTACGTTGTGCCTGGCGTCAGCTTTATCAGTTTTCGGTCAATTGTTATTTGTCTTAATTACTTTTCCTTGAGAGAACCACAGACAAATTTTAATTTACGCAATGTTTTGTTAACCCAATTACATTGCGGCTGTTACTCTTACTCTGGACTACGTTCACCGTACCTGTTGTGGTAAATTTGGTTTCGATGACTAATCTGAACCCAATCTTAGCCTGATCCTCAAAAGAACTAAGGTGCATTTAATACTAGAAAACTCATCTACTTAGAAGTGGTGTACAGGATTGTACATATAAGGGAAGCACGGTTTCTCTCCTAATTACTCTCACCTCCTCTCCCTATTCACATCGCCTTCTCCGCACTTTACTGCTAATCATCAGTTTTCCTTCTTGGAGTCTTATGACTGGGCTGAACATCATCTTCACTATCCTCAACAGCCGTGACATTATTGTATCCTTTGTGCGAAATACTTGACACTTTATCACTCATTTATGGAGCATTGGGTCCAAAGTTACCTAATCAATCTTGTCTCTGGTGGCACTGACTTCAATGACCCGCATCCTATCATCCCATCCTCGCCGTGGCGCGATAGTTTTCATGCTTCAGCGCTCCACTGAGCTATGCGGGGTGGTGCTTTTTGCACCTTCAGAACCACTCATACCAGATTGGTCAACGGTTAGAGGCCAGACAAACCCAGTCACCTGGCCCTCCAAGTTGGGGGTCGGAATGAAGATGGCTCCTTATTCCTTAAAACACACTTTCTGTAGACCCCTGCAAACCCGATGCCTTGCGGCCAGGTTTTTGAACCAAAGGCTTAGGTTGAGAACCCTAATCATTCTCCTGTCTAGGCCTGTGCAACCTGACAGTATCCTGCCCACGCAATACTATGCATTTCCCCTCAAACAATTTCCTGATGCTCTGGCCACCGCGGAGGATAATCAACGGTGCCCTATCTGCTGCATCGAGCAGAGTAGATAGGGGTTTGGATGTTACTGCTCAAACCTTCCCGTCTTCTTATTCCCCTTCTGACGCTTTTTCACCCTTATCGTCCCGTTCGAACTCCACTTTTATCCCACCAGTTTCAAAAACACGATTCTTGGCCCTCCCCAAGATGCTCTGCTAGGCGTTTACATTTTAGTTTCAACTCACATGCCAACGCGGAGCGTCACTCCTGCTCTGACGACAATTTCATGTCTAACCAAGCGGTGAAACCCAGTTCATTAGCTTCTATTTGGAGCTTCCGCTCCTCCCTCAGATTTGCATGCCTCAGTATACGCACATTGCTGCAGATCGGTTAACAGGAAGCACTTTCCCGAACATTAGTGGCCCTCTCGATGCATATCTGCTGCCTACCGGAAACCCGCCTACAAGACCCGAGCTCTGTTCTCACTCTGCGATCCCCCTCAGGTGACACTAGCATTGCTTTCTCATTGCGCCTATCCGGAGACGATGCAGCTTGCAGTGCTGGCCACCCCGTTGTTGGTATTGCCCTGAGTCCCCTGGCTGAAGCTGCTCTGGTTAATTGGATTCCAGTAAGAAGCCGGATGTGTGCTGTTCGACTGGTTGGCTCGTTCAAAGCTTCGAAGTCGCGCGGGGCTAATAGGTGTCTTTTTGTCATCGCTGTCTACGCGCCCACAAACTGTGGCAATGACTCGATTAAAGACGACTTCTATGGTCAACTGGACGTGCTCCTTCGTCACAGAAGAAGCACGGACACTGCAGTGGTTGTTGGGTACCTGAACGCTTAACTTGGGAAAGTTGTCCACTGATGAACTGCATCTGGGCGGCCAACATGATCTAGCTGTTTGTCATGATAACGGTGAGCGGTTGCTTCATTCGCGTGAAGATGGTCGCTTATTTCTTGCAAGGACTAACTTCCGACACATCGGAACGTGAAATGGCGCCCACCAGTCATTCACGCAAATCGATCACATCGCAATCAGTTATAACATTAGAGACTGCGTCCAAATCTGTCGCTCGATTTGGGGCACATGTGTGGACACTGATCATGCACTTGTATCTGCTGGTATGCCTGTGCGTGTTGGCGGTCGCCTTCGACGACGCTCTGTGCGCATGGACACAAGCCAGCTGGGGAAGCCAGGTGGGTTGAATGTGTATCGAAGTATGCTGGCTTTCGGGTTGAGCACGCGCTTATTGCATACAGTTGAAATTCAGTGGTTGCATGTTCACCGGACCTTACTAGCAGCAGATAAATCATCATGTATCAAATCCACTAGCCAAAATAGACATAGGGTCTCTTCTCACTCTTTGGCACTTATCGATGCCCGCCAGCAAATTCCGGCTGGATGGGAACACAACGAGACTTGCAAAGACATCAGAGCATAACTCCGTGCTAGCCTGGATAGAGACCGTGAAGCATGGTGGTCTTATCATGCATCCGAAATGGAAGCGGCCGCTGCCCTTGGTAATTATCGGAAGTTATTCCGTCTGATACGGGAAACGCCTAACTGGTGACCTGGTGTTAGTGCAATTATACGTGGCGAGAGTGGTCAGCCTATCCACAACTTGTCAAAACGTTGAGCTGAACATTTTGAAAACAATTTAATCATCCGGAATCGTTAGATTTCTCACCGGCTAGTGATCGCCCTGCTCCCTGGGCTGGCCCTTTAGATCCGCCTTCTCGCCCTTCGAAATCGGTCATGAGATCAGACTGTTGAAGTTGAATAAAGCCGCGGGACCAGATAATCTTCCTCCAGCCCTCTTTAAATTCGAGGGACCTTCTTTTGTGGATGATTTACACAGATTACTAGTAAAACTCTGGGAGCAGAAAACTGTCCCAAACGACTGGAGCTGCTCCTTTATCGTCCCGATCTTCAAAGAAGGCTTGTGTTCGGAATGCGTCAACCATGGAAGAATTGGTCTGATCCCCATCGCTTCCAAATTACTTGCCTCTGTAATCCTTCACAGACTGACTGGCACTCGTGAAAGTCTGATTCATGAGGAGCAAGCCGGGTTTCGTCAAACTCGAGGCTGCATCGATCACATCTTTACTTTGTGTCAATTGTTGGAGCACCGTCACACATATTGACGGTCCACCGTTGTCCTGTTCCTAGACATCAAAGGTGCCTTCGATTCGGTTGATCGGTGTGCCCTTTGGGACTGTCTACTCAGGGGAGGTGTGCCCGAGAAGTATGTAAATATTATGCGAGCGCTTTACACGCGTAACACAAGCAGAGTGAGGGCTTGCGGCAAGCTGTCGCCACCCTTCAATATCTCCATCGGTGTGAAACAATGATGCCCGCTGTCACTTTTCCTCTTCAACTTCGCTATTGACGAAGTCATAGAGATTGCATTTGCAGCACATGACTTAGAAAGTGTGGATCTGCTCCCAGGAGAACGACTTCTTGACTTGGAATATGCTGACGATATTGCCCTCCTCTGTGACAGCTCCCAGACGTGCCAAGCTGCATGGGACAAATTAGCATTGGCTGTCAGCCCTTACGGGCTGGGCTTTGCACCCTCAAAGTGCAAAGCGTTCTTCCAAGATTGGCAGAGATCGCCTCCTGCGCTGACCCTTGGTGGGGATCAGTTATAAGTCGTTCAGAAGTTCAACTACCTAGGTAATTGCATCAGCGCCATTGGAAATGAAGACGAGATCACGAACCGTATAGCAAAAGCTCGAGGTGCTATTGCTAGTCTTCGCCACCTATGGCTGCGGCGTGATATCACTGTCACCCTGAAGGGTAGTGTACGTTCGACCCTGCTGCACGGTTGTGAAACCTGACCTCTATGATCAGCAAACATCAAGAGGGTAGTTACGTTCGACCACTGGTGCGTTCGCAGTTTGCCTCGTATCTGGTGGGAACACCGCAGGATTAACGAGCGTGTTGGACGCCTTGTTTACGGCGCAGGAAGAAGAAGCGAACCGCTCAGCACTGCTATTTCACTCACGAGGTTCCGATGGCTCGGCCACGTGTTGCGCATGTCAGCCCAACGACTTCCACGACCTGCGTTGTTTGCGCGCTGAGAGTGCGGATGGAAGAGAAAGAGAGGGGTGGCTAAGCGATGACTTGGTCGAGAGGAATGAAGGCCCTTATTTCGAAGTTGGCCTGGCTTGGAGCCTCTCGGCTCCCTGGTTTGGGAATGAAGGATGATGAACACGTTTGGCTAGATACACTTGTTGACATGGCTAGGTGCCGACCTCATTGGCGTTTGTGTTGTGAGTTTCTTTTTCCCTCCCCCTTCAACCACGATCTCAATTATTAGGCATTGTATGACGTTTTACGGCACATTAGCCGGCTGTTAGCTCATCGGAGCGATATCCATCCGTTACTGCTGACTCAGCTGGCGTGCCTTTCTCTCGTGCTTTTTCTTTTATTTTTTTTTCTTGCGGCACAATCGCTGAGGTGTTTTCCACCTGCAACTAACGTGTATAATGATGATTCTTAAACGTATAATCCTTTTTACTATCGCGAGCCGGTTATTTTGTGCCACAAAACTAATTTTTCATGGCTTTTTCAACATAGTACCAAAACTATTCTTACTAGCCGGACGTTTTTAGACAACGGGCTCGGTTTGTTGCTGGGTACGGTCTCACACTTCTTTGTGTGAAGGTTCGAAGGAGTCATTTAGATGTTATTGGGTTTGATCATTATGCCCTTACTAAAGAACTTGCAGACTGCTCATGGTCCGGAATTCACGATGGCTTTCATCGTTCGGTCGAATGGGAGCACTCGACTTTGTCATCAGATAACAATGCCTTTTGCTCAACGCATTGATGATCAGATTTCACCAATAGCACTCACTGTTAACCATTAATTAGGCTTTACACGACTCACCGCAACAAATTCCATCTCAACTGACGCTTCACTACGGCACAACCACAAGCACCCTGCCCGCACGGATGGACCGTCAACCGCCTCATTCGCAGGAGGAAGAAAATAAGAAATGGCGCATTGCGTTCAAATGTGTTGGTGAATATTAAAATGCCTCATCAACGCATTTTTCTTTACCAATATGTATTTCTTTATGTATGTATGTAT